CTCTTAATTGAATTTTTTGTTTTTAAAAACGCGAAATTTTTTTATTTATTAAATTTGGCAGGGAAATTTTTTCCCCGCTTTTCTTACCTACGTAAAAATTTTCATTTTGTGTAATCGCGTAACGAACTAATTTATTTTCTTTTTTTTTTTTTTTTTTGGCAAAAATTATAATTTTACGGGTTTGTAACGTTTCATACCTCATTTCATTACGTATATATTACATGCTATTATTATTATTATTATTATTATCATCGTCGTTTTTTTTACTTACGTAAATACAATTTACGTACGCGAAACGAAATTAAAATTAAAATTTTTTTTTTTTTTTTTTTTTTTTTTTTAGGGCGTTCCGAAAATAAATACGTGAAAAAAAAAATTTTATTATTATTATTATTATTATTATTAATATTACAACCATTATTTTATTATTTTTTTATTTTAAATTATTAATATAATAACCGTACATAATTAAATATATCGATGACGTTTAATAATAATAATAATTTTTAATATCCGACATTTGTCAAAGTTATTCGAATAAAATTTTATTTTATTTATTTTTATTTTATTAATTAATTAAAGTACGAATTTATTTATTTATTAATTTTAATAATTTATTAAAAAATTTATTAATTTTAAATTTAAAAAAAAAAATCAGACGACGTTTGTTTTAAAAAAAATATCGTAAAAAGTTTTAAATTAACGGAAAAGAAAATGAAAATTTATTGATTAATTAATGCGGTTTTAATCTTTTATTTAAATAATAATAATAATAATAATAATGATAATAATAACGAAAACAATAATAACAAAAATTTTATGAAAATATTTTATCATTATTATTATTATTATTGTTTTTAACGATTAATAACGTAAAATGATGATGATGATGATGATGATATGAAATCAATTTGTTTTCTGTTTTTCCTATAATGGGATTATTATTTATCGTCGTCTTCTGCTTTTTATTTATAATCCAATTATTTTTTTTTTTATGTTCGATTTTTTTTTATTTCGTTATTTTTATTATAATCTATTGACTTTTTTTTTGCGACGAAATTAATAATTAATTAATTATTTAAATAATTTTTTTTTTTTAATTGTAAAAAAAAAGAAAGAAAAATTTTATTAATCGTTAAAAATTTAAAATAATTATTAACGGTAGTAGTTATAATCATAATAATAATAATAATAATAATAATAATAATAATAATAATAATAATAATAATAATAATAAATAATCGGGGATTAAAATTTTTATGAGAAAAATAATATTTTCTTTCGATAATAATAATAATAATAATAATAATAATAATAATAATAATAATAATAATAATAAAATTGTTTTTCCCCTAAAATCAATTAATAATTATTATCGATTGATACATAAAAATTCGGTAAAAACGGATTAATTGGAACGACCTCCATTATTATTATTATTATTATTATTTAATCGATAAAATAAAACGATCAATTCGTTTTCGTTTATTATTATTATTATTATTATTTTTTAACGAGTTCAATAATGAGAAATCCTTTAAAAAAAAAAAATTTCCAGCACGCAAAACTTTTTTACAAAAAATTTTATAAAAAAAATTTTTTTTTTTTAAATTCGTTGAAAAACATTTTGTTTTATATAGACTTACAACGTTTTATTATCATTATCATTATTATTATTAAGAAAATTATTTAAAAAAACCGTCACGACACGTGGTGGACATTTAACAACAACAACAACAACAACAAAAGGCGTTAATGGTTTAAATGAATATTAAATGCCAAAAACAATCAACGGGAATTTTTGTTTTTTTTTTTTTTTTTTTTTTTGGCATTTTGTTAAGTTGGCAAAATTTCACAAAGGTCAACCGTCGTAAATTTTTTTTGTTTTTTTTTTTTAAATAATTTAAAAACATTTTATTTATTTATGTATGTATGTTTTTTTTGTACGCGTTTTATTTGATTTACAAAACAAAATATTCATGTCACGATGTTAATCCAAATTCTTTTGTTTTTATTTCCGTTGGGAAATTTATTTTTTTTAATTTTCCATCACACGTTTTTCGTCCTCCTCCTTCTTTTGTCACGGAAAATAAAAAAAAACGCAACGGAAAAACGCGCGCGCGTTTTAAAAAAAAAAACAATTAAAAATAAACCGATAAATTTAATCATTTGTTTTTGTGACTTCCTATTATTATTATTATCGTACAAATTCGAATTATTATTATTATTATTAATACGGAATCAATTTAACATTTAATGGTAAATTTTTTTTTATTTTTTCTTATCATTTTTAATAAATAAAATTTTTTTTTTTGTTATATTTAAATGTCAACAGGTAACGAACGCGTTAATTTTATTATTATTATCATCATTATTATTATCATTAAATGATAAATAACATAAAAGGTGAAAAACATATAAGAAGGGAAAAGTTTCGATGAGTTTTTTAACCTTTTTTAAGGAACCGCCATAAAAATAGAAAACAATGCAATGAACACATAATAAAGAAAAACATTTAAGGATCGACCTTTTGTCGCGTTTTGTTTTTTTTTTTTTTTTTGAGGGGGAAGGTAGGGGAGAGGGGGAAGGTAAAAAGATGGGAGGTGGGAAAAAGGATAATTTATTGAAAATGTTGATATTTTTAAATAAATAAAAAAAAAATGGAAAATTGGTAAAGAAGTAGAAAAATGAAAATTTTTGATTAATGAATTTTTTTCGGTCATTAACTTTTATTTTTTTTCACCGGGGGTGGAGGGGGTGAGGGGGTGAAAGGGTGAGGGGGACAGGAAAATTTATTTTTTCTCCATTAATTTATTTTTTTTCTGTTCCATTGATTTTAAATGTTTAACTCTTTCGATTTCCTTTTTTTACACTTTTCACCTAAGAAAATTTTTTTTTCCGTGTAGGAAGCGAAGGAGGAAGAGGAAGAGACCGAATTGGAAATTTTTTTTTTTTAATTAATTTTTTAAATCGTTTTTTTTTTTGCCCCCATTTTTTTTTTTTTTTTTCGTAACGAGAAAAAAAAATTTTTTAATTTTTTATTATATTATTATTATTATTACTTTTTTTGCCATCGAGTTTATCGCAAAGAAAAAAAAAAAAAAATTCAATTTTACTTTTTGACGAGAAAAGTTTTTTAACGAATTCGAGTTTTTGTTTGACCTCCTTTAAAAAAAATTTTGTGGGGGGTTCGTTTTTCGGGAAGGGAGACGAGGGGGGAGAGGAGGGGGGAGAGGAGGGGGGAGAG